CATCACAAAGGACTCTGTGTGCCTCCAAGGTAGATGAGACATGCAAAGTGATCTAGAAAGAGACAAGATAGAGTCATGAAGACCTATTGGCAGGTTCATGTGAAGGCCTGCTGAGACCCCACCAGGTGGAGAGAGAAGAACACATTTCAGCAGGTGGACGGATTGGCCACAGGTGTGATGGAAGAGCAGGAAGAGATCAAAGATGCCAACCAGATTTCTGGCTTTGGCAGTGTCTAAATTATAGTGCCATTCCCTGAAATAAGAAGGGAGGCAGAGGGGCAAGTCATGAGAGGATGCAGCTGATTCAGTTCTGGCTGGGTGCCTGTGGGCTCCAGGAGAGGTGTCCAGGAGGCAAATAAAAGTCTAGAAATCGGGAGAAAGTTCTAGGCTGAGCCAAGTAGTTTTCCTGTTTCAAGAGGCTAATGGGTGTGAGTGGACAAGCTCACGAGAAGAGGTGTATAGGGGTAGCTCTCACCCTTCTGCACATGGGAAGCATCTCGGAGCTTTTAAAACATAGTGCGTTCCAGCCTGGAGTGGGGCCTTTTTACTGTTTATTGTTTTTTAAATACTTCTTTCCTTTTTGTGGGGGGTAGTTAGCTTTATTTATTTTAATGGAGGTACTGGGAATTGAACCCAGGACCTCTTGCATGCTAAGCATGTGCTCTAAAACTCAGCCGTACCCGCCCCACCTTTTTTTGTTTTTAGACATTAGCTCTACTGAGCAGTCAGGGTTGAGAATCAACCTGCAGAGAGCAGAGAGCCTTGGGGTCGAGACCAAGGAGAAGCTGCCCAGAGCCCTGCAGACCCCACCGGGGGCAGCCGGAGACGCAGGGAGCTTCGGACGGGCTGTGAGGAACGTGAACTCAACACTCTTCAGTGACGAAGACGAAAAACATGTTTCAAGCTCCCACTTCCCAGCAGGGTTTGTTCTGACTTTACCAGTTTTCCAGGAATACTGAGTGAGAATAGAAATTATCTGGACACAGGGATCATATTCAAATGGTGGTTCTGACCATTCTTAGCTGCGTGATTACTGATTAAGAGGTTACCCGTATGCCACGTGTAAAATGGGGGACTTAGCACCGTGCTCGTGGGCTGCTGTGAGAGTAATGAAATGACATCTATAAAGGCCCTCCTGACTCTCAGACGTAATTGCTACTATTGTCCCCATTTGGGACACCAAGAAACAGAGGCACAGAAACCTTCAAACATTTGCCCAAGATGAGGGTTGGTGTCAGGAATCAAGCCAATGACTTCGTGGATCCAGAGCCCAGGATTTTCTTATGAACAACACGGCACTGCCCAGGCTCCCTGCTCCAAAGCCCGCCTCCTTTTGGCTCAGTTCCATGGCACCTGTGCTGCACAGATGCCCTCACTGCCTGCCTGCCTGCCCAATGTCTGCCTCCGGCACTCCTCCCTCCATCCCACATAGCGCTTCCGTGGGCACACCAACCCTCACGAGGCCATTGCTGTGGCTACTCAGATGTTTACACGGAAACGCAGGTGTCAGCCCACCTTTTTGCTACAGGTGCTGCTGTCAGTGGAGGCAAAGTGTTCACAGTTGGTGGGGGAGGCCACATCTGGTCTCCTCCTTGGCTGGAGAGCTGGATGGAATCCAGTTTCCCTCTGCAACTTAGACATCCAGCATGAGAGCTATGTAAGGCCATCTGGCCTCTCAACATAGAAATGATGCCCCTGCAGTTGTACTTAACATTGTAACCTCCTGGCTCCACCAGGGAGCAGAGGCCATGTCCTGTTGTCCACCAAGTTTTGTTTCCTTGCACGACAGCTACAATGGGTTAACACCAGACCAGAACATCTACAAAGCCCTCGTGTACTATATCCTGATACTTGTTGGTCACCCAAATATCTCAGATCCTCTAAGTAAACAACTAGTAAGAGGAACTGAGCTGACTCGTCTGTCAGATCCCTGATGGCAGGACTGATTTGGCCTCTCCTGCTCTCGGGATGATCCGTTCTACTTCTGTGTGACCTTCCCCGAGTGAAAGAGACTGTTCTTTGTTTATGGGCTAGGGAGTATTTGTGGCTGTCTGACCAGAATCTTCAAAAGTAGAGCTCTTGGTGAGAATGGAAGCATGACACCCACGTCTCATGAGCTCAGCTACCCAACAGCCTCATTTAGCCAAGAATGTGGCCAACACCAGGGGTCCATGCTTTTGAGTGTTGGGTCTGGAGGGCAATGCCTCCACCACTGAGAAGTTGCCTCACCACTTGTGCCCTTGTCCCCATCGAGGGGGACGTGACGCATTCATGGGATGAAAGCCGTGAGGGCACCAGGTGACTTTGGACCAAGCTATGACTGCCCGGTCCTGTCCCCCATGTGACCCATGTTAGCCTCATATGCAGAAAACCCCTAAAGAGACCCCTGCTTGAGTGAATGGGTCACTTATAAGCCAACTGTCCTCAGGCCGCCTATGAAGCAACACAGTATACACAGTGAGCCACCGACTCACTGAAGTCCCCAAGGCACACAGGG